TACCTGCCTGCCTGCCTGCCTGCCTGCCTGCCTGCCTGCCTGCCTGCGCGTGCATACAGACATACATATGTACATACATACATACATACATACATACATACATACATACATACATACATATATGTGTATATATATATATACATATACATACATACATACATACATACATACATACATACATACATACATACATACATACACACACACACACAAATTCATATAAATATTAGATATAAATCTAAACATATACATAAATATGCTAGCTCATGGATTTCTGTCGTGCGTTTCTGCTGTTTTCGGGTTTTGCTCTTCCGGTCTTTGGGGGGAGGTGGGGGGGGACGGGTCGATAACATCCAGTTTCATGCTACTTCCTGTGTCGCAGCAGCCGGGCTCGGCTTCTGGGGTTAGACGTGCAGCTATGCCTTTCGGTGCTGGGGTATGCACTCCCACATTTTTGGAAGCGTTCAGCAATCTCTTGGTGCTCGTCGTCGCTGGCCTTCCTCCGATTCCGGCTCTCCGTGACTTCTGGGATGCTTCCTTTTAAGAACTGAGCGCGTGTGCGAAGAAATCTGCAGACTCCTTCAAGCATCTTCCCCCTAAGACCCTCCACACAACAGTAACTAGATAGTCCCCCAGCCCGAAAATAAGACCCAATACAGAATTCCGCCCCCGTCGAAACCGCTAGTTTTAAGCTTAAAACGCGCCAGAGCCTGGAAATACCGAGGAATTCCTAACCTGTACCGTCCGATGTGGCATTTATTTTTTTGTCACCCGAAATCGTGCTGATACCACACGCTTGCTAGCACTCAAGCATAACGTAGCACTTTTTTACTACTCAAAACAACCTTAAAATGTGCTTAAAACTGTGGTGAGAACACAGCTTCACCAAAAAATCAACGACAAAAAACCATGCGGCGGGATAAATATGAAAATAAATACATAAAGACATAAATATGCAATTAAAGTAAGTAAATGGACATGTAAATACATATTACGCCTAATGTTTCTTTATGTTGGTATGTATGCGTATATGTATTTTTACATCGTAGATGTTATTATTATTATTATTACCGTTTGTAATGGCGATTATTCTCATTACTATTGTTATCACTACTAACGTTGTTGTGATTAGTAATTCTGTTGCGAACATGGCATTGTTTCTATTATTTGCCTTACCATTGCTATTCTGGCACTGTTATCATGGTCATTGCACAACATGATTGCGATTATCATTGCTATTCTTACTATTGCAGCATCATTATGATGCATCTGCGGCTCGAGCCCACCCTGTTGCAAACAGTGGCAGATCGTGCGGGCTTTTCTTGTCTTGGTTGTCTTGAGACCAGGCTTTGGCAGTGTTCCTCATGGCGCCCAAGCGATTTTCGGAGATCATGGGCCTCGGCAGGCCTTCTTGCCGCCGTGTGTCATCCAATGAGTACCGCCGTCCTGCATCCAGCTGATTGTTGATTGTTCAGGCCACCTGCTCAAAGTAAAGCACAGTGACGAAGGGCTGAAACTCAGCAAGGTTAATGGATTTGTTTATAGCAGTCTTAATGCAACAATTCTTGCGATCTTGATGCAGCCGATCAACTGATACAAGCCAGCATCTGACAGCTTTGAGATGTAGAGTCCGTCTTACAGTCTTACAGCTTGTCTCGATCGGCTGTTATCGTCCCGTGCACTTCCCAGCAACATGCTGGAAAGATTTAATCTTGGTTGTCGACATCTCTTGCTTAGTGCCTGGAGGGCACCAATAGGTCGTTTGTTGCCGTCAAGACCAGCGTGCCTCACTTTTTTTGGTGATTCAGCCAACCAGAAGCCATACCTCAAGTTCTGCATTTCTTCTCTGAGGCATGCTGTGTGCAGTGATCAACAGGGCAACTTTGCGGATGCCATGCTCTGCATTGGTGCTCGCCATGCAGCGTGGCCTCAAATCCGAAGCTTATCAAAAACAGTTGAGTCTTGTATCAAAGAAAGCCGGTAGGACTGGTTAGATCAGCTTTAGCCACCGTCTCTGCCATTAGGCAGGATCGCAAGAGCGGCTCTAGTTGCCTTGCAGCTAACAGGGTCTGTATCACCGTACTAGCATCCCTGATTAAGCCTTGCACCACGGATTCTTCGTGCCCTAAGCCCACATGAGAGGACGTGTACGTGATTTCGGAGTCGGCCTATGGGTTGCGAGGCCGCTGTACAGCCTCATCGCAGTTTTTTGCAACACCTTTGCTTCGCTTTCGCAATTTCTGCCCCAGGAGATCAGAAGCCCTTGCACTTCAGCAGGCCCCCCCATTTTTTTGGACTTCAGCTGACTCCCTTGATTTTTTGTGGAAAGGGGCAGAGCGGGCACCCCGACAGGCAGCGCGACCGTTTTAAGCCCTTCCTGCCTCAAGTTGAACATGCCTTCGCCCTAGGCTCTGCGCCGTGAAAGGCTGGGTACAGTAGCCTACACATGCATGGGCCGAGATCCTCTTGGACAACTGCACAAAGTATTCCTCCGCCATTTCGAAGATGCGTCGAGAGCCAGATGCTGATCACATCATGTGTTCACGGAGACCCTTTTGCTGTACCCTTCTGAAAGTTTGAAAGGACCAACAAGGGCAAGAAGAAAGGTGGGGTGCGCCCCCCCGGTCCAGAGAAGAGCAATCGACTGCACTTTGGCCATGACTAACAGCACCTTGACCTTTTGGCAGACAATGTTTTCCGCGGAGAGCATCCAGCGAATCTGCGTGCTGAAAACACTCATTCAGAGGCCAGCTGGCCAATCCATCTTATTCAGCGGTTGTGATATTTTGTCAATACCTGCCGGTTCATACGGCCACAACTGAAGAGGCGTCCAGAAATTCCGGATGATGCACTTCTGATTTTTTCTGACCTGGACGAGGTGAGGGCCTCAAACCCGATCCCTAATCCCCAAAGCCCTGAACCCAAAACTCCCTTTTTTCCAGTCATCTTGGCCGACCACTGCCAGGTGCCCTCTGCCCAGGCATGCGGCACAGAGTTGGTTTTCGCCAGTGTTTCAGCGATTAGTGTCGGATTCAGGAGCTAGGACTTTGCATTGGGTGTAGAAACCAGGTAGGCGGAACATCGCCGTTTCCACACCGTGTTGCCTTGGGTTCACTTGTGGGCAGGTGGGCAATTCAATGCATGTCTTTGTTGGCCACGTCCGTATCTGTGGCCGAAGGCACATAATGCAATGACCACAACATGCATCGAGTGGATATGAGAAGGTGTTCTACGATGGCCATTGTTTTGCGAACGAACACTATTCGTCAGTTGCTACACCAGGAGGTATGGAAAGCAGATGAACTGTCGGCATTTATTCGTCTCCGTCAGACAGGGATTCGAGGTCGTGCGAACGTGATGCATGTTGTATGTCGCATCGTGCACCCAATGGGGTAGATGTAGCACCGAGAAAGACAAGGAAAGAGTCTCACAGTCGGAGATTCTACATCCAAGCCTGGTGTCGGCGGTAACGGAATACAACACCGAGCTTTCTCAGGGTTTTGGGGGGCAGTCCTTCGTGGTGATGCATGTTGTTTCAGCGTGTAGTGCTGGGAGCCGTGGCTCGATATCAACCTACAAAACTCTTGTGTTATCCTGCGTGGACGAGGCCATTCAGATGCTGAGGCTCTGCAAGACAAAGTCCAGTGCCAAGGCTTGAATGAGCTCGATCAAAGGTTTGTAGAGGGTCTTCAGACTTCTAGCTGTTGTTTTTGCGTTGCCTGGTTTCACTTGAGCTACAAAGCCTTCACGATGGCAGGATGGGCCATGGATACAGGCCCACTATCCTCTGCCGTACAACCTCCGGGCCGATCGCTCTGCCCGTGTTCGGTCAAATGATGTTTTTAGGATTGGGCCGTTGAGCTCTTCAGGTTGGGTGCAAGGCAAGAAAGAAGACTGAGTTGCTGCCCCAAGAAAGAGCATGAGCATGCTTCTACTCGCTTAGATCCATTCCGGCATCCCTCAGCTCTGCGTTCAGGTTGCACTACCAGGGGGTGCCAAGCTCAGGAATGGGCTCTTCGATTTAAATGCATCCCAAGCCCAGCTGCAAAGGTCTTCACCACCATGGGGTTCTTACGCCGGAAGAGGGGCTTAGCGCTGCGGCACGCCCCCGGTTTGGTCCCTTTCTGATGCATGCTGGGGTCTGCTCCCTGACCAGGTACAACATGAGGCAGAACTTGATCGTGCAGGGGCCTGGGCTTCCTTATTGAGTGTTGTACATAGCCCCACCACATCCAAAGCAGGCCAAGAGCCGGCATTCACCTGACCTATGTTGGTACGGCCCCCAGGGCTCTTAGCTTGACAGGTGGGGGTAAAAAACTGCGTGCGATGGTCTCGCCGAAGGCTCGCGTGCAGATGTCGACTACAAGCTTCTACATCACGGCGGCGGGTTCAGTCATCACTGATGTGGCAGGGACAGAAACACCTGCTGCCCTTGTCACCAGACTTCAGGCGAAAGCGGTCAGGCAGGTAGCTTCATGGTCGTGGCAGTGCTGCAGCAATCCGACTACTGCATAGACGACCGCGAGCTGTGATGGACCAAACCGAAGTGCCCCTTTCATTTCGTGCCCTTGGTTGCCCTGTGGCATCGACGGCGTGTCGACATGGGCTCGATGGAAGAGATGGCACCAATTGACTCGAAAAGTTCGGAAGGACCGAGCGGTGGAATCGCACCACCTCCCGTGACTCAGCGTGAGCTTCGGCAGCTCGGCTTGACGAAACTCTCTGATGCAGAGGCATTCGCCCAGCTCATCTTCCACTTGGGTTGCCTGGCCGTTTGTGCAACGGTTGTTATGTGGGCATACGAGCGGGGACACTGGGGGCTGTTGCTGTTGTCGTACATTCCCTTTGGTGTTGTCGAGTCCTTCCTTTTCAATGGCTTCCATGAATGTGTCCACAACACTGCCTTCGAAACGAAAATGCTCAACACTGCTTTTGCCCATTTGCTTGGATTTGAGAACTTCCGTGGAGCGAAATGGTTTTGGTGCTTCCACTGGTCGCATCATCGCTTCACAAACGACCCAGACAAAGATCCAGAGCTGAGCGGAGAAAGCGTGGACTTGGATGATCCCACAAAGTCACTCAAAGGATACCTGCAGTTCGTAAGTGGCTACCCATTTGGCTTTGAGCGAGTGCTGCGCATGGCACGTACAGCTCTTTACAACGAAGTTGACCCATGGGTTGCAGAGAAACCTGTTGCCACACAGCAGTTTGTGCGAATGGAGTCGGCCGCGTACTTGTGCGGCTACGTTTCTCTCGCAGTTGCTGGGCTTCTGTGGTGGCGTGCAGTAGGTGTGAAGCTTGTGCTTCTATGGATCGTGCCGCACTGCGTCGGTGCTGGCCATTTGCGGCTCTACCAGTTCGCAGAGCACAGAGCATGCAAAATGGGCCGGTACACCGACACAAACGCTTGGATCTGTGCTAGGACTACGTCAACTTGGTGGTTGTACAGGAAGCTCGCATGGTACATGCCTTTTCATGCTCCTTGGCACAAAGCTGGCTTCGAGTTTCGGTCCGTCCTCACACAACCCTCACAAGGTGGCATCAAAGGTCCTGTGCTCTGTCGCCTCTGTCTTAACTAGCCTAACTGGCCACTGTGTCATGTGAATCTGATAGTATCAGGTCGAGCATCATGCCTTTCCCAACGTGCCCTTCTACAAGCTGGAGTCTGCTCATGAACTTGTCAAAGCCACTTACCAGAAGCAGGGTATGCAAAGCATTCCGACTGGCTGCGATCCTCCAGGATCAGACGGCTATTCGGGTCTTCATTGGGTCATGTTCAAGCGCATGCTGAACAACACCTTCTCCAAGGAAATCAAGAGGATATGACCGCTTCTTGGAAGCCCACTCTTCTGTTTCCGCAGATGTAGCCAGTCTGACTATTGTACCTACAGATGTACAGAGACGTCTTCTTTTGTGCAGAAATGGCTGGGAAACTGCCAAGTCGAATCTTACACGAGTCCAGCACCAGCTTGACACTGAGGTCTTGTTCCAGACCCAGTTTTCGCGGACAGTGATGTTAGGAGCAGTCTGCTTGCGCGAAGAAACGTAGTAAAGGTCGTGCATAAGGCAGTCGCACAGCCCGGTGCAGTTTTGACACGCCGTGGACACATCGACTCTGCAAAAAAATCGACAGGTCCTTGCCACCAAAGCAACAGCCAATGGCAAGAGACTAAATTTCTGTGAGGCCTGTGTTTGTACTCAATTTAGCGTCCCATTTGTTGCCGCACTGATGTCAGATCGACGAAAAGATTCTGGCATCGATGGAGCAGCTTCTGCGTGACAACCCGGCAGCATGCCCAGACTAAACTGTGCTTCGCGACACATGTTCAGCGTGAATAATCCGAATCGCCGAGCCGCGTCTTTCATCGTCCCAGGTTTCTGTGGCACGGGCGTGGGAGCGAGGCAGCAAAGGTTCTGAGTTCTGAACATGTTTCGCTCACCGTCGGCCAATCTTGACTGCAGGCAAGTCCTCAGTGCTTCGGAAGGAACCTGCGGGTGAGCTCTCGAAATGCCAAGTGTCCGATACTTTGTTTCGAATTTGTTCAGTTGGAGAAGGATGGTTTGCCAACAGATGGGATTTAGGCCTTGGGCGCTTCTCACGCATCCAGAGTCTGCCTTGCCTGTTTGACTCATTACTCTGGCGATCGGCTCATTCTGGCGGCTGTCGCGCTACGATCAGGCGCTATCCTCATTTCTGGGGAAGAGCTACAAAATGATTTCCAGATCCAGACCGTTTCACATTCTCTACTTGAAAGGTGCAAAGCTCACCAGACATTGATTAACTAAAATCTTTTCCGAATTCTTCGTATGATGCTACCTCCCCTAAAGTATATGCAAGTAATCATAACCTACTGACTCTGTGCTATGCTTCAATGCCACACGCATACGTGCGTCTCTCTGTGAGTCTCTCTGTGCGTATCTCTGCGCGTCTCTTTGTGCGTCTCTGTGTGTCTGCCCATTTGTTTGTCTACCTTTGTCTCTCTGTATTTATCTCTATCTGTCTATATGCATCTCCATTTATCTCTATCTAATTGGAGGTTTGAGAAAATAGGGACTAATATACTACCCTATATTTTGAAGATCTCCAAAAAGACTACCCTAATTTCCGGAAATTCCCAATTGAATCTATCTCTATTTATTTTTTATCTACCTCTATCTATCTCTATCTATTTATCGATTTTTCTTTATTCATTTCATATCTTTATTTGATATTTCTTTCTCTCTAATTATATATCTCTTTAGATTTATATCTCTCACGAAATCTCTTTTAATCTCTTATTCTCGTTCTCTTTTTATCTTTATTCATTTCTATCTCTCTTTAATTATCTAATTCTATATGTTCTATATTTTTCTTTCTCGATCCGATTTGCTTGGATTTATTAATATCTACTACTTGCTTGGAATTATATTATTATTATTGATATTATAAATATTATTCTTACTATTATTCTTGATTAAATTATACTATATTATATTATATAAATAATTATGGATTTAATTAAATCTGCAAAATAAAAATTAAATTTATAAAATAATTATCATTCTCTTCTCTAAATACTTTTATTAATATATTAGCATACGATAAAATAAAAACCGATTTATTGAAAATTTATTCAAAATATTTTCATTATTTAGAATATTTAGCTAGATAATAAATTTTTATTCTATGGATTTAGAATATGAAAATTCTCAAATTAATAATAATTATATTCGATTAGA